AGCATTGGAGTTGACCGAATTACTTTTTTAAGCGCACCCCTCACACGGTTCGTGCTGACTAGCAATAGCTCCAAAAATGCTGTGCCTGCTCTTCCTCTTTCTCTTCCTTTTGCTTCTCTTCCCTCTCTTTCTCTTCCTTCTGCCCCCCCCCAGGAGCCGAACTTTTTATCCCGGGGAGTTTTTTATCCCCCGCGGGGTCCCACCATCGACCCCCCTACACGCGAGGAGGACAACGATTTTCTAAACAAAACATAAAGCACCGAATCCAATTTTGGTGTCAAAACCGGTTATGGGGCCATCCTGTTTTCTCTTCCGCCCCCCACCGTCATTATTTATCTCTTCCTGCTCGTGCTCCTATTATTAATCTCACATTCAACCCGCGTGGTAGGGGTGAGCAACATTGCTATAGCCTTACATTATTGCCACTTCGGCCCATCTTTGGGCCTTGAAAGGACCTTGCATCATTGCCGCCCATCCTTACTACGCGAGTCGACTGCAATACCACGAGCATTCCGTTCCCCCTGATGCAGGAGCGACTCGCGGCCGCGAGTGTCTCCCAAGTGCTAACCAAGTGTCTCCCATGCAAAGACGGCCCCAAAGGATGCCGTGCTTGCATGGGAGAGTGGTTCGAAGCCCAGCGCAAGAGAGGTTTCTTGGCCAGATCGGCCAAGGACCTCTCTTGCGCTGGCAAACTGTAGGCGCCTGCTTAGCCACGAGCCTCGAGATCTCTCGAGTCAACCTTGTGCCGTGCGCCTGCTGGCAAATAGCCACGAGCCTCGAGATTTTTCGGGTCAGCCTTGTGTCGCGCGCCTGCTTAGTCACGAGCCTCGAGATCTCTCGAGCGAGTCTTGTGCCGTCATCACCATCAACATCATCATCGTCACCATCATCATCATAACTTACCTTCCCCGGGAACATATTGTATTTTCACCGCCACAACCCCGAACTCTATTATCCAATGGGGGTCCATTATCGTCCGTCGGCGGTTACCACTGATGCCATCGTCATTGCGAGGCGCAAATTGGAGGAGGCGTTATTCGCGGCAGGACACGCCGCTGGTACTTCTTGCGTTGGACTGGGCAAAGGCTTCTGATAGCGTCGTGCCCGATGCTCAGGTCACAGCCCTCCGCCGCTTCTTGCTGGCAGACAAGATGCTACATATTGTCCAGGCGATCTCCACCAACAGGAATTCCACTGTTCGCGAGGCAGGCAAAACCTCGGGGCAGCGGGAGCAGCTGGCTGGCATCTGCCAGGGTTGTCCCTTATCGCCGCTCCTTTTGTTGCCATCCTGATGACTGTCCTCCTCCGAGACGCGAAGGCCCCGCTCGGCGACGCTGCTGGCGACGCCAGCGACCTGGTGCACGCAGACGACGCGCTGATCGTCGCCCCGGGCGCTGTGGAGGCGGAGCTGCGCAGGAAGGCCATCTCGGATGCTGGCGCCAACTACTGATGAGCGTGTTTTCCACCACCACCACCATAAGTTGGAGGGGGGGGGGTCCTCCTCCTCCTCCTCCTCCTCCTCCTCCTCCTCCCCCTTCGCCCCATCCAACTTATGGTGGTGGTGGTGGAAAACGCGCTCATCAACTACGGCCTGCAGTATAACCGCGAGAAGCTGGAGCTCATAGCCACAGGGTGCAGCGCTTCTGCCATGCTCGAGCCTGGCGGCTGCCCTTTCTCAGGAAATGAAGAGCATGGTCTACCAGGGGAGCGTCCTGACATCCGACGGGCCCGTCGGAGCGGAACTGAGCCGGCGGGTCGGCCTCGCCCGAGCAGTTTTCGATTCCCTGCGGCGCATCTGGTCTCACTCTTCCCTGTCGACTAGGAGGAAGCTCATTATAGACGCGGCATGCGTTGAGTCGACGCTCTTGTATAGTCTGCGCACGTCTTGGTTGCGCAAGCGCGAATGAGCAGAAACTCCGGGGCATAGCGCATTCATATGTCAGTCGCGCTCCCAACGCCGAGGTTCTTCAGCGAGCCCGGCGGGCCAAGCTCAGCGACCTTCTGTTGTAGCGGCAAATGGTTTAGTTCGGGGATATTGCGCGCAAGTGCAACGACCGTCCTGCCAGGCAGGTCAATTTCCAGCCTTCCCCCTGCGACTTGGCACAGCAGCCCCGCCGCCGAAAGAGGGGCAGGCCCCAGCAGGCGTGGGCGTCAGAGTTGTATGAGCATGCGCACCATATTTGTCCTCATGTTGGTTGTCATATAAGCAATTTGGGCACCTTGACAGCAGAAGCCTGGAAAGCGGCAGTGCGCAAGTATACTGCCTAGCGCACGCTCGTGCCATTGCTCATGTGACTACGGACACGCGGCTTCATTCATTCATTCGGCTGCTGAAGGGAATGCCCAGGGACGTACTGACAAGGGAGTGAACGGCAACTGCTGGGGTGGCCTGAGGGGTACGGAGAATGACGAGAACGAGGAGGGGAGAAGAGAAGTGGGACAGGAGAGGAGGAGGAGGAGGAGGAGGAGGAGGAGGAGGAGGAGGAGGAACAGGGGGAGGAGAAGCAGGGGGAGGAGGAGGAGGAGGAGGAAGAGGAGGGAGATGAGGAGGATGATGAAGAGTAGGAGGGCCCTCCCTCGCGCTTCAGCATTCTACCCCTGAGTGTTCATCCCTTCGATCTTCCTTTCCCGTCCTCCTCGCCCGCTTCCCCTCCTGCGCCCACGTCCTCTTCGGCACTATCCTGCCCCCTCTCCCAATCTCCTTCCGTACTTTCTGGCCTTGTTTGACCATCGGGATTCCTCTTCGGCTGCCAAGTCGGGGGTTTGGGTCGAAGAATGGCTCTACTCCACTGGGCCTCAGGTGACTGCTAAAATGGCGACAATTCCTCAGGTGGCAACTTCCTGGGAGCCGCGAGGCCTCTTCTGGGTATGCGAAAGACTCCACGCCGCTGGGCATCCCAGGCGCCCACGACATCGGAAGAAGGTCGCAGGTGACAGCCCTCCAGGCAGCGCAAGATATGAGACGAACTTCAGGCGGCAACGACAAGACAAAACAACATATAAATGCCAGGATGAAGCGGGAACACCCCCGCGACGGGGCCACAAACCCTAGAAAAGGCAAGGGGCTGCCCCCCAGCGAAGAAAGGCAGCGCAAGAAAGGGTGGAGGAGAAGGAAGATGAGGAAGGAGGCGGAGGAGAAGAAGAAGAAGAAGAAGTATGGAGAGCCAGACTGCTCCATTCAAGGCGAAGACCTTACGAAAAGCAGGGCTGGGAACGCATTCTTTGCCATCGGACCCGCGACGAACGCAATCACTGCAACACCTACCTCCGAATGGCGACTTCCGCCAACTTCTCCACTCGCCGTGGGGTCGGCAGAATGGAGATCGTTTTTTTTTTTTTTTTTTTTTTTTTTTTTTTTTTTTTTTTTTTTTTTTTTTTTTTTTTTTTTTTTTTTTTTTGTTTAATATATATATATATATATAGATTCCAGCGACGGCCCGAGTTACCCGATTCGGGGGGAGGGAGGTGCCTGCCGACAACTCAATCTCTTCGCTCTGGACAGCCCCGCGCATGCCCGCGCGCGCCGTTGCTGCGTGCTTCCCCCTCGGACCTGCGCAGCCGATGTTGTGAGGGCATCCCGGGGGCGGGGAGGGGCAGGGATCAATCGTTAAAGGCTTAACGTCTGCCGTCCTTCGACTCGCGCTGGAGCGGCCGCGAAGTGCTCGAACTTTAGATCTCTGGTTTTAGCTGGATTTACCCAGATTTATCTAGATTTACCTGGATTTACCTCGATTTATCTGCATTTACCTGGGTTTATCTGGCTCGATTCTCACAAGTCGATTGGCGGAAAGTCGACAAGCCCTAAGGGAATCAAGGTCTGACAACCGGGTCGAGCGGCGAACCGTGCAAAACGGTCTCATGGCGTCAACCTCCTCAATAAGAAACTCACAATCCTTTAATAGCGCGCTTGGAACGATCCTCCCCCTGGCATGGCCAGGCCGCCGATCAAGTTTGGCCATGGCCATGAACTTCTTCAGAACTTCATTGTTGCCGGGAATGTGGCCGTATCCGTCTCCAGCCAACGCCATTTTCACTATGTTTGTTCTCTCAAGAAATATGATGCGCATGGTTGGAACCGACCTTGTCACTTGAAGAAAGAAAGACCGTGTGCAATCACTATCTGAACAAAACGTCATGGGGTTCGTAGTAAAACCAACGGATGATGTGTGAAATTCTCCCTGGAAAAATTGGGTGACCCTGTCAACTGCGCTATCTTCACAACCTTTTCGGCCCGCACATCGTATATCCTTCGTGTACTCCTTAAGATACGTCACGTGCTCGTTACCATCCAGCAGGGACTGAAACCATGTGCTGCCCGAGTGGTAGAATTTTACTGTAATCGAGTAGGTCACGCTTCGGCGGTGGACAAACCTCCCTTTAGTAAACCTCCCCTTAGTGAAAACGGCCTGGGACCGAAACCGACGGACCTGGACCCGCAGAAATGACGGCCGCGAAGCCCTCTCGCGAACCGAAAACGGCCAATTCACTAATCGACGTGTCAGGGTAGGAGGTCGGTCCACCCCCGAACGCTGGGAAGGAGCCGACGCCCGATAGAACTGGCAGACTGGGTCGTGTTCTGGTGGCCACTGCCCGGGACGACGCGCCGACCCCGGTCCACGCCAGGGTGCGATAGGCCTTCCCGACCAGCCACAACTGGGGGAGCCGTGGTCCTCACCCCCCCTGGGGGAACCCATCGCATCGAAGATCTCTCGATGGGGGGTGTCGAAATCGATGGGCCCCCCAGGGGGGTAAGGACCACAGCTCCCCCAGTTGTGGCTGGCCCGCCTTCGGTATCGTGCGGCGCTGCTGGTGTCGCACCTCGTCTGTACATCCGAGAAACGGCAGGCACGCCTCCGAGCAGGATGGCGATGTGGAAAGACACCAGGAGAGCAACCTGCCAGCAGGGAATCGCCATGTCTGTGACTGCTCGGGCTATCGCAAAAACCTTCGGGCCGCTGCTTGAGCCAACACGGCTACAGATGTCTCGGCGATTCCCCCCATGTTGAAAGAGAAGGACTGGGTTGATACGCATCAGGGCCCGTGTGCGGAGATATCACTATATTTTCGAACAGATGCGTAAAACATCTCACTCCTCCCTTCATCTCTACTCCTTCCTCCCTCCGTGCTTTGCATCATCCACGCGCGTCTTTCTCACACTTGCTCCGGGCATTTTCTGTACTCCTCCCTCTTCTTGTATGCTGTGCTTGTCCTCAACGTCCTCCACCCCTCCTTGCCCTTCCGCTTCCTTCCCTCTCCTCTTACTCCTCGCCCCAACTCCCCTCCGCCATTAGAGGCCTCCTAGATGGGGTCCGAATAGATGGGATCGGAAGTTTGCGCCGCATCGCCGATACATTGCCGAGCATCGGCGATGCATCGGCACGTCGGCGATGCGTCGGCGACGTCGACGTGAAGCAAACTGGGCCCCACATCGAGCCGCATCGCCGATGCATCGGCGATGCGGCGCAATCCTCCGACCATTTCTAGGAGGCCTAGAGCAAAGGCCTCGAAAAACGATGGAGGCACTCGAGGACGGGGACCTGAAACGTCACGCGCTGCTGCCGAAGGTGGCCTCCATGGTGGAATGCCCTGCCAAAAGCGACCGAACACCCTGAAATCACGTCGTCTCCCTCACACCTTGCTCCTGTCGGAAATTTCGCCTCTCCTGGAAGTTTCGCCTCTCCTGGAAATTTACAAAAATCTGCGTTACCTTCGAAATGTCGCCTCTCCTGGAGCGTGTTCCAAGCTCAAGGCGAATGCAGCCTTGGCGACCCGGGCCCTCGCGGACCCGAAAGCGTCGACTTTTCTTTTCGGCCCTGGATCCCTCGGTGACGATGACGACGAACACGACGACCGCGACCGCGACGGCGACGACATCGACTCGTTCGGCGCCAAGCCCAATTCTTCCTCCTTCTTCTCCTCCTCTCATCCCTCCCCGCGCGCGCGGGGGAGATGCAGGAGGATAGGGAGGAGGATCTTGGACTGCGACCGAAGGTTGCACCCCACTGCGGCGCAGGCACATGTGGACATAATCATGCACACGCTGGGAAGAAGCATACATGGGCAATCCGTATCCCGTTTTTCGCGCGTGGCCTCGCAATCGTCACTCTTCAAATCCACGATGTCCTTCCAACCATCGGTGGAAAGCTGTTACACCTTGCATACGAAAACCTAACATATTCAAAGCCGCACCAACTCCCGCGAACATCATCGTAACACCAAGTACACCCCTGCTTCTTGATTGCGAACGTAGGTCAGTAGGACGATCGGGTGCTCGTCAACGGGGGGGGGGGCCAGAGACTGGGGGGGTGGGGGGCGAGAAGACACGTGCGTTTTTTTGTGCACCTGCTTGGCCCGCTGTGGCAATTAAGGGGCCATCCAGGACTACCTCGGGGCCACCTTCCTAAGCAAGCTCGCCCATATAGGGGTGGCAGCAGCACTGCCTCATCTTGTGGTGCCCCAGCAACTCGTGAGCCTCAAGCCAGGGAGCATCAGACCAACAGAGCAAAAGCTGTCACGCAATCGTGTCTACTTGTCACCCGTTAAGGCACAAACGCCCGGGGGGGGCTCAGCGCCGATCCGAGCAGCCCGCGCGCAGCTCCAGACACCGCGGCGGCATCTTTCCTGTGACTCGGCCGCCGCCGTCCCGCCCGGCACGGGGGTCGGCGGCGGCGAGCCCGCGGCGGGGGGTGGGAGAAGTGAGAAGTGGGCGGGCAGGCATTCTCGGAAGGCGGCGGGGCTTGTCAGAACCCCTCGCGCCCTCTGGCACGATTTTTCTGCGTCTTCGGGGGGGGGGGCTCCGAAGACTTCTGGGAAAGCTGGAGGCCTTCTGAGCCTTCTGGGAAGGCCTGCCCCCTTCCCGACACCTGGCGGTTTGGGGCCACAATTTTACCAACCAACCCTCTGGGCTGAATGGTTTCACGAGTTGTCCTCCGCTCCCTGCCGCAACCTCTCCTTCCCCTGCTCGGGGGAGGGTTTATATACACCCTCCCCCAAGCGACCGGCAAGCAACCAAGAACAATGAGGACACCATCACACACACCCAACCATCCGTGTCAAACAACAATACGAAACACACTCTGCCTCGAAATCCAGAGCATGCGCAACCAACCCGATGTGCCCCCCCCCCTCTGTCAAAAAACAATTCAAAGTACACGTTGGGGCAACATCTGGAGTCATGTTCGAGAGGCCCGCGAGCACTCTGTATTGCTTTTTGACAGGGACGTCGGGTTTGTCAGCATATTGGCATATTGCCAACTGTGCGCAGGGCTACCATCCCTGACAAAGAACAATACAACATGCACCTCGCGGCTAAATCTGGATCTTGCGCGGCCATCCCGCGATCACTGTCAAGTGGTTTTTTGACAGGGACAGCGAGGGCGGTGGCGCGTGGCCTGCTGTGCGCAGGTCCACCACACACAATGATGGGCATTGGCCGACAAGGATGGTGGGGCCGACATGCTTCCCAATGTGTGCTGTCACGTGCGCAGGCGCACCTGACGCACTCTGCACGTGCACCGAACGCGGCGCACCTCGCACGGCTGGAGTATGCGGCACACCTGGTGCACGCGGAGACACGTGGCGCATCTGGCGCATCAGGCGTGCCTGGCACGCTCGGGCCCGAAGGGTGGGGTGCATGGCGCGCGTGGCGCGCCTCGCCCCAGCGTCGCGGACATGGGCTCGATGTTGGTTCCCTGCAGCTGCCCATCCAAAGACGACCGCTGAACATGCTCAGGCTCGGGTGTTCCTTATGTGCTTGGAGGGCGGGTGGGAGTGAACTAGACGGCTTACTATCTAGCCCCAAGGCGACCGGGGGCCAACCCGACACCATGCCGACGCCCCCCACCATCCCTGTCAAAAAACAATAGAAACCGCACTCCGCCTTCACATTCGGAGCATGCGCTGCCAACCCGATACGGCCCGCCCCCACCATCCCTGCCAAACAACAATGCAAAGTACACTTTGGGGCAACATCTCGAGTCATGTTCGTGAGGCGCGCGAGCATTTTGTATTGTTTTCGACAAGGGCGGCGGGGGTGTCAACATATTCTATGATGTGCGCAGGGCTACCATCCCTGACACCAAAATAGACAAGATGCACCTCGCGGCTAAATCTGGATCATGCGCGGCCATCCCGCGATTACTGTCGCGTGGTTCTTGACTGTGCGCAGGCCCACCACACACAATGATGGGCATCGGTTTTTGACAAGGATGGCGGGGGCCGACATGCTTCCCAATGTGTGCTGTGACGTGCGCAGGCGCACCTGAACCACCTTGCACGTGCACCGAACGCGGCGCACCTAGCGCGGCTGGAGTGTGCGGCACACCTGGCGCACTCGGAACACGTGGCACTCTGACGCACCAGGCGTGCCTGGCACGCTCAAGCCCCATGGGTGCCTGGCGCGCGTGGCGCCCCTGGCACGCGTGGCGCACCTCGCCCAAACGTCGCGCACCTGGGGTCGGCTTGGGTTCCCAGTAGCTCTCCATCCAAACAAGGCCGCTGAGCAAGCTCAGGCTCGGGTGTTACTGATGTGTAGGGGGGGGCGGGTGGGAGTGAGCTAGACGGCTTGCGGGCGGGTGGGTGGCTTGATCACCGTTCCCTATTAATAAACACCCCCTTCCCCGGGCGACTGGGGGCCAACCTAGGTCCATGACGACCCCCCCCACAATCCCTTGTAAAACACACTATGAAACACACTCGGCCTCCAAATTCGGAACATGCGCAGCCAACCCGATGCGCCCCCCCCAGCATCCCTGTCAACAAAAACAATACAGAATACACTTGGCGGAGGCGGCGGCGGCTGCGGCGGCGGCTGCGGCGGCGGCGGCTGCGGCGGCGGCGGCTGCGGCGGCTGCGGCGGCGGCGGCGGCGGTGGCGGCGGCGGCGGCGGTGGCGGTAGCGGCAGCGGCTGCGGCGGCGGCGGCGGCGGCGGCAGCGGCGGCGGCGGCGGCGGCGGCGGCGGTGGCGGCGGCGGATTGGCCCCCAGTAGCTACCCATCCAAAGACGACTGCTGAATATGCTGAGGCTCGGGCCAGACTCGGGTGCTACGTATGTGTTGGGAGGGCGGGTGGGAGTGAGCGAGACGGCTTGCGGGCGGGGGGGGGTCTTGACCCCTCCCCCATACCCCCTCCCCTGGGCCTGAAGGCCACCCCCCGAGCCGGCAGACCGCCCAAAATGGCCCAATACCGCTCCAAGAGGGTCCTTGGCAGCCCACGATGCCCTCCAAAATGGCTCAAGAGACCTCACGATCGTTCAAGATAGCCTCCGACATGCCTCCAAGACATCCCAAGACAACCCCAAGAGGGTTGCGAGTGCCCTTCGAGCCTCCCAAGGCACCCCCCAAGAGGCCATGTTTTAACAACCTACTGACAATCAAGGTTTTTGGGCTTCGGCTCGCGATGAGCCTCTTGGGCGTCAAGGCGGCCCCCACATGGCCCAAGGGAACCCCAAGAGAGGCCCAAAGCGGCAGCGAGGCGGTCCCAACAGCGCCCCAGACACGCCCAAGCGCGGACCAAGAGGGCGCCAAGATGCTATTTTGGAGCCTCCAAGTGGGGAGGGGCACTTCTGACCCCCCGTTCTTTGATAGATCTTCTCCAAGATGGCCCCAAGAGGGCCCAAATGGGCGCCCAGCATCACCAGGGAGGCGCCCGGCATCACCAGGGAGGCCCCCGAAAGTCCCCCAATTGGCCCCCACGAGAGACCAAAGAGGCTCCAAGAGGCTCCTCCGACGCATCAGAGACGCTCCAAGAGGCCGCAAGGACCACCAAGGCCTCTCCTCTTCCTCCTCCTCCTCTTCCTCCTCCTCCTCCTCCTCTTCCTCCTCCTCTTCCTCCTCTTCATCCTCCTCTTCTTCCTCCTCCTCTTCCTCCTCCTCTCCATCCTCCTTTCCCTCCTCCTCTTCCTCCTCCTCCTCCTCCTCCTCCTCTCCTTCCTCTTCCTCCTCTTCCTCCTCTCCTATTCGGGGCAATCGGATCTCCAGGTTTTGTAGAAAACCCGTTCGTGGAACAAAAAGCATCGGCAACGAGTGGCACATCCAGGGCCGCGCGCAACCTCCTCCTCCACCTCCCTCCCCCTCCTCCTTCTCCTCTTCCTCCTCCTCCTCCTTGTTTTCCTTCTCCTCCTCCTCCTCCTCCTCTTTCTGTTTCTCTTTCTCTTCCTCCTCCTCCTCCTTTTCCTTTCCTCTCTCAGTCGGGGCAATCTGATCAGATGACTGCCGAAACCCTCGGGGACAAACAAAAACTGTGGCGTGATACTGGCGCAGGAGCCCCTCCACGACGACGTAACCGTTGAAGGTCAACATTCGCCGCCGAAGACTCCAAAACGACCCCCATCAAACCAAAACGGCCCCAAATCGACCTGTTCATCCCTTCTTTGACGACTCATCCAACACATGTTTCCGCCGTGCCCGCACCCCCCGAAAAAAAAAGAGGCATCCAAGGCGGCCGTCGCAATGTATGATTCTACGCTGCCGTCCTCAAGGCAACTCACCTGGCGATCGTGTCAGCATGAGCGGGTGATTTTTTTGATCGCGACCGCGAGCGGGCACCCGCGCGGCGTCGTGAAGCCGCGAAAAGAACGCAAGCCGGTGCAAACATGACACACGGTGCACACGGCAACGTGGCAAAGGCGGAAGCGAACGAAGACAGCAGAGGAAGAAGGCGGAAAAGCGAAAGGACGAGGAAGAGGACGGACGAAGAAAGAGAAAGCATGACGAAATGAGAGGCGGCGACGAAAGGGAGAGAGGAATAAAGGCGGCGACGAGAGACAATAACAGAACAGGCGGGGAAGAAAAAGAACAGCCGCGGCCCAGACGTGGAACGAGTAGAGGACTACCCACAACTTGCAGTACTCCCAATACTTGACGTAAGTCGGCAGCGGAGGGCTCAAATCCAATCCAGTCGGATGCCGATGCCACGTCGAAGCAAGGAGAGCACAGAACCGAGGAGTGACCAACGCCGGCAGGAGCAAGTGGAAACGCGAAAGCGCCCTTGCTGAAGGACGGAATATAATACCCCAGGCCATCTCTAGGGCCAGCGCAGCTAGCAGTCGCGCTAGCAGAAAGGTGCACTTCAGGTGGCCCAGCGTCCAGCGGGGGAGAGCTAGCAGCAGCAGTGAAGGGAAACGGTGCCACCTGAGCCAACCTGCGCTAGGGTGCAGCTAACAGCCGCAAAACGCTGGAGGATTGCTTCGCCTGAGACATGGGCTCCTTTGGTCGGGTGCAGCTAACAACCGCAAAACAGTGAGAAATGTTTCGCCTGAAACGTGCAGCCTGGGGGGAACTGGCCGCGCCAGCCAAAATGGGGGGGGGGGTGCAGGTAACAGCCGCAGGATGCGGGGAGGTGACCCGCCTGAGGCCATGACGACGCCAAGCAGGGGTTACATCCCTCGCTGCCCCCCCATGTATGGGGGGCGCGCAAACATATGTCAACGATCCATGGATTTGGCACGCAGTCACCAAATCCATGGATCGGGAGAAGTGCCCTCCCCAAAATGCGGCCGGTCTCGACATCGAGCCGCACCGGCGAGGCGTCGGCGGTGCAGCGCGGTTTTCCGAACCCATCTGCTCCGACCCCATCTGGGAGGCTTAGATTATGGCCCCCCCATCACACGCGGCGCCCAAGACCGCCGGCGCCGCCCGCGGGGGCCTCCTCTTGCTCCCGCGCGGCCTCGGCCAAGCGGTTCACCTCCGCCCGCAGCTCCCGGAGCGCCTGGGGCGCGGCGAAGCGGCCGGAGGGGGGCGCGCGGCGCAGTGGGCGGCGGCCGCGCGGTGCGCGCGACGGGCGCGCAAGCTCGGCGGCGCGCATTGGCGGCGCGTGCGCCATCTGCTCCTTCTGCTCCTTGAAAACCCACCTCTGGCCTCCTTCCTCCTCCTCCTCGTTCCCCTCCTCCTTCCCCTCCTCCTCCTCCTCCTCCTCCTCCTCCTCCTCCTCCTGCTCCCCTTCCTCCTCCTCTTGCTCCCCCTCCTCCTCCTCGACATCCTCCTCCTCCTCCTCCTCCTCCTCCTCCTCCTCCTCCTCCGCCTCTTCCTCCTCCGCCTCGTCCTCCTCTTCCTTCCCTCGTCCTCGCCATCCCCACCCTTCTCCTTCTCGTTCCTCCCCGGGCCCTCGCATCCTTCGTCCCCCCCCTGTTGCCTTTGACGGCGCGGCGAAGGGGGGATGCGGGGGGGGCTTCTTAGGAGGCGTCTGCGCCTGAGGTGGTGCGGGCCTCTCGTCTGCAGGCAAGGCCAGCGCCCCCCGCCTCCCTCTGCGGGCGGCCGGCGGGAGCGAGGCGGGCGAGAGGCCCGCCTGGAGGCAGCAAAACGGGGGCCGCGCCCCCCGCCAAGGAGGATCGCGTGGCGGTGCCTCGCAGGACTTCGTCGCAGGAAATGTGCAGATCTTGCACGGCGCGGCTCTGCTTCAGGAAGCAAGCCGCGCCCCCGACCGACGCCGCGGGCCAGATCGGCCCGACATCATGTCGAATAACGGGATGAGGACGAGGGGGGTGGTTTTCGGGGTAAAACAGTCTTTGGGCCTCGGCTCGGCGGCAGGGTTCCTTCATAGTGAATTAGTTACAGTTAGCAGTAGCCAGGCAGCAGGAAGCGAGAGGATGAAAAACGACGACGACGTCAAGCCGTCGAGCGCCCGCGCGCGCCTGTTTTCCCCTTTCGCCGCTGCGAATCACAATTTGATCGCGGGGAATCGTTAAGGGGGTTACCGCCCAAACCGAACGCGCGCGCCATTTACGAAGGGTAAAACACCGCCCCCCCCCCCCCCCCGACTATGATCCCTAGGAACAGGGCTTTCGGTTTCGAGTTGACCCCGGGACTTCACGCGAAAACAAGGGGGACAAAAAAGGGCCCCAACACAGAAAAATGGCGCGCAGGCTCTCGGGGGAGGGGGAGACAGCAGGCGACGCCCCGCTCCCTGAGGGAGAGCGGGGCGGGGCGGCCCCGCTCGACCCCAACGTTCGTGCCGGTAGAGGAGGGGCTTCACGAACATGAAAACAGGACAGGACCTAAACGTTGTCTTTCGTTTCGTTTCGATGAGTTCCACCCGTCATGTGGTGCTGGGCCCTCGTTTTGTTGACACATCGCCCCGTCACTCACTTATTATCCTCCCCCTCCTCCCTTCTCCCGCCATCATCATCGCCACCGTCATCCTTAACCTCACCCTCATCCTCAACGCCATCATCATCATCAACAGCATCATCAACATCACCCGCATCAGCATTATTACCATCATCATCATCATCATCATCATCATCATCATCACCATCATCATCATGTCCGCCGTCATTTTTTTTACTCGGCATCAGAACCAAACGAGCCAGCACAGCGTTAAAGAAAAAAATGGCCCGCCGCGGAGAGCCGTATCTCTCGTGAGTCCCCGCTGTGGGGCCACGCCTCGCGGGCGCTGACACAGGGGAGCTGCGTCGTGCTGCCACGAGGCATCTTCGAGAATGCGTTCATTCGTCAAACAAGAAGGCGGCGGCCTCGTCCTCGGCTGCTGCATCGAGCTGGTCGAGAGAGCCCTCGGGCGCTTCACCGTCGGGATGGGCCGACCCAGAGTCGGCATCTGCTGGGCCGTCTGGCCCAGGCGCGAAGAAAGAAACTGCTGAGACTGGCGGCGCACGCCCTGCGGCATGCTCCTGCTCTGTGGCGGCGCGCGCCCTGTGGCATGCTCCTGCTCTGAGTCTTCACAGGGCGGGCGATGGTGTTGCGCCTGTGCACCGCGGCGGCTGGCGGGCAGCGGGGCCCCCCTAACAAACGCTATTGCTCGAGCGTTTCCAGCCAATGCGCCACCTCTTCCTCGAGCCATCCCGCTGGCTCCACCCCCCCGTGGTGCTGCGCCGCGCCCTCGGCGGCAAGCGCCTTCATGATTAGCTTGCGGCCTGGCCGCTCTGGGGCCCCCACGATCAGCTTGGTCTTGTCCACGTCAAAGCATCGCTCGAGCCGCCTGAAGCTGATCTGCTGCTGCAAATCGTACTTCTTGACTTCGACGTCGGCCATTTCGTCGGACGGCTGGGTCTGCTCCATGTACGCGCTGATATCCTGCTTGAGTGCTCCGCCCACGTCACACTGCTGGAGCTGGGGGCCCTTTCTCCTTGAGCTTCGGTTTGTCCTCCGCGTCTCCGCCGCGGAGCTTGTCGACCATGTTCTTGTAGCCCTCCAGCTTGTCGGAGATCCCGTCCACGAGTGGGTGCTTGGTCGTCATCGTGTACGTGTCGATGTTGATACTGATGTTGAGGAGCGTCCGGTGGATGGTCTGGAGCAGCAGCTTGAGCGTAGTACGAAGCAAGGCCATCAAGTTCTTGTCCTTGCTGCTCCAGACCTTGTCGCTGTTGCCGCCCGTGCGCTTCCTGCGCATGTCGCCCTTGGCTGCCTGCTCGTCCTCGTCGACCTCGATCGCCGCGTCGGTTGGCGCTCTCGGTGACTGACCTGGCTTCATCGGCGGCTTCTGGAGGCGGGGCTTGGCCGCGGGGGGGCTCCCTCGTCGCTTCTGGAGGCGGCGCCAGATGCCTTGGAGCCCTTGGAGGAATCCAGGGGGGGGGAAGGGCTTCTTAGAAGGAGGCTGCTCCTTAGAAGGCGCCGGCCTTACCTCTATATAGAGAAGGCCCGCGCCTTCTAAGAAGCAAGGGTGCTTCTAAGAAGCCCTCCCTTGAGCAGGGACCGACCGTTCCGGCATTCCTATAGTCCTACCACGAAATGTTCTTAGAACCCAGAAATGCTCTAAGAACAAAAGCGATGTCCTTAGAACATAAACCCGATGTGTTAAAACAAGACAATATCATCCAGAACTGTTCTAAGAAAATCAGGTGGGAGCCACAGAAGGTTCTTAGAACCTTGTGCGGTAGGGCTACAGGCGATCCAAGACGCTTCGCCACTGCTTGACTCCCCCCTCCCCACACCCCCCTCTGCAGATGGCTGATTCCTTCCCGTGAGTCCTCCAAAAGGTGGCCGGGCGGATGAAAACCAGGGCGGCCGGCAGCGGGCGCCTCCTGGGTCTGCTGGGTGTCGCCCCAGCTCTGAAGCCGCCGCTTTTTCTTTCTCGGGAGGAGAGGGGGAGTGAGGAAAGGAGAAATGGGACAGGGAGGAGGGAAAAGACCGAGCGACAGAGAGAGAGGGAACGCGAGAGCAAAAGAGAGAAACCATATCTATATCTATATCTAAACACACATATATATAGATATATGCATGAATGTATGTATGTATGTATGTATGTATGCATGCATGCCTGCATGCAGGTATGTATGCATGTATGTATGTATGCATGTATGTCTATATACATACATACATGGATATACACATACATATACAGCAATAGAGATAGAGAGGGATACACATGTATACATGGAACATGTTATATATACACACATATGTATGAAACACGTATATATAAATGTGCACATCTATAGAGATAAACAAAAAGAGAGAGGGAGAGAGAGCGAGAGAGAGAGAGATAAGCAAACAATAAAGAAAGAACGAGAGAGAGAGAGAGATGGAGCCCCGCCTCTCGCTGCGCGCGATGACGTTGCGTGTGACCACGACTCGCCGCGCCGCCCTCGAAGCCGCGCGCGGCACCCTCGTGGCGGCCCACGCTGCTGCGGGCCTCAGTGCAGGCGAGTGCCGAGAGGCCCTCCGCCTCCTGAGAGCGGCGGAAGGGGCCGGTCAGGGCTGCCGTGGCGGTCCTCGGCGCAGCCCCCGATGCTGATGATGAGCGTGGCGGCGGAGGTCATGCGGCCCCGCCTGCTGCTCCCGCGGCGCCTGCCTCCTCGCCGCCTAGGCGGAGGAGGCGGCGCGCTCGGCGCCGCCGAGCCCGCGGAGCGCAGGTGGGGGGTGCGGGGCTGACCCTGGCCATGCCCCCTGGCGGCAAGCTGGAGGCGACGGACGCGATGGTCGAGGACGGCCTCGAGGACGACAGCTGGGCTGACCAGGCGCGCGGGGGCTCCGCTCCCAGCGCCGCGGCGCGCCCTGCGCCCTCGACGGCGGCGCTCGCGGCCACGCCCCCTGCTGCTGCTGGCGAGGAGGGGGGGCAGCCCAGGGCGCAGAACTACGGCGAGAAGACTGCTGGGCTGGAACCGCTCGCGGGGCCCGCGCTCCACGGGGCGCGCGCGGCCTGGGCCGAGCGGCTTGGGGTCACCGCCGCGGAGGTGGGCTGCGCGGAGTTCGCGGCGCGGTTGGAGGCCCTTCCCCCTCCCCGCCGCGGACCGCGGCAAGCTGAGGCGCTTCCTGGACGGGATGCAGCAGCTGATCGACCAGACGGGCGCGCGGCCCCGCGGGCCCGCGGGCGCAAGCGCCGCGGGCGCACCGCCACGTCGGCGTCAGGCCCCCGAAGGGGGGGTGGCCCAGTCGGCGTGAGGCGAGGGCTCTAGGGAGCAGGCCGCTCGGCCGCAGGCGGGGCGCGGGGCGCGGCTGGCTGCGGTTGGCGTGCCGCCTCCTCGCCGAGGGCTACGGCGGCGTGCTGTACGTCCTCGTCCGTGTCGTCGCGTTCGGCTTCTTCACGGCCGGGGGGTTTGCCCTGCGGGGCGGCCCCCCGCGGTTGCGCGGGCCGCCGACGAGAGGTCGGCATGCCCCCGCGGACGAACGCTGTGCGTCAGCGGCCGAGCCTCGACTCGCCCGCTGGCGCGCCGAGGGTGGTGCGAGAGAGAGAGAGAGAGAGAGATGGAGAAAGAGAGAACGACAGAGAGAGAGAGAGAGGGAGAGAGAGAGAGAGAGAGAGAAAGATCTATATATAGAGAGAATCATATAAAACTTATCCCGGCAAAGCAACCTAACAGCGATGTGTAGGAGCATATCTGGAAGCATTCCCCTTAAGATTCGGATGAGAATCCAGTTGTAGAATTCTGCTGTTCTCGCAGTCGTAGTCGCATTCGCGATGGCAGTCGCAGTGGCAACGGCAGTCGCAGTCACAGCCTCAGCCTCAGCCTGCCTCAGCCTCAGCCTCAGCCTGCCTCAGCCTCAGCCTCAGCCTCAGCCTCAGCCTCAGCCTCAGCCTCAGTCTGCCTTCAGCCTCGGCCTCAGCCTCCGCCTGCCTCAGCCTCAGCCTGCATGAGCCTCAGCCTCAGCCTCAGCCTGCCTCAGAGCTAGAAAAGAACTATGCACATACACCGATTCTGGCCAGGCCCATCCTGAGCCCAGGATCGGTGCATACGCCCTCCTACCTTGGCCAGGAAGGCATATGCACCGATCCTGGGTCAAGGATGGGCCTCGCCAGGATCGGTGCATGTGCATAATTAGTTCTCTTCGCCCGATCAGCCTGCCTCAGCCTCAGCCTCAGCCTGCCTCAGCCTCAGCCTCAGCCTGCTTCAGCCTCAGCCTCAGTCTGCCTTCAGCCTCGGCCTCAGCCTGCCTCAGCCTCAGCCTGCATCAGCCTCAGCCTCAGCCTCAGCCTGCCTCAGCATCAGCCTGCTTCAGCCTCAGCCTCAGCCTGCCTCAGCCTCAGCCTCAGCCTGCTTCAGCCTCAGCCTCAGTCTGCCTTCAGCCTCGGCCTCAGCCTCAGCCTGCCTCAGCCTCAGCCTGCATCAGCCTCAGCCTCAGCCTCAGCCTGCCTCAGCATCAGCCTGCCTCAGCCTCAGCCTCAGCCTGCCTCAGCCTCAGCCTCAGCCTCAGCCTCAGCCTCAGCCTGCTTCAGCCAAAGCCTCAGTCTGCCTTCAGCCTTGGCCTCAGCCTCAGCCTGCCTCAGCCTCAGCCTGCCAGCCTCAGCCTCAGCCTCAGCCTGCCTCAGCCTCAGCCTGCCTCAGCCTCAGCCTGCCTCTGCCTCAGCCTCAGCCTGCTTCTCCTCATTCAAAATGTGGCCCAGGAATGGAGTTCTGGGAACTCGAAGAACACGAAGTGGCCTACAGTTGGCTCCGGGCATTCAAAATGTGGCCCAGGAATGGAGTTCTGGGAACTCGAAGACCACGAAGTGGCCTACAGTTGGCTCCGGGCATCCAAAATGTGGCCCGGGAATGGAGTTCTGGGAACTCGAAGAGACCTACAGAAGTGGCCTCGAAGGGCCTACAGTTGGCTCCGGGCATCCAAAATGTGGCCCGGGAATGGAGTTCTGGGAAGTCGAAGAGCACGAAGTGGCCTACAGTTGGCTCCGGGCATCCAAAATGTGGCCCGGGAATGGAGTTCTGGGAAGTCGAAGAGCACGAAGTGGCCTACAGTTGGCTCCGGTTATTCAAAATGTGGCCCGGGAATGGAGTTCTGGGAGGTCGAAGAGCACGAAGTGTGTGACTGTTGGCTTAAAACGAGCCCGGCTCTGTTCCCGGCCCTCCTCCCCGGCACCCGCCCAGACCCCCCTGTGGAGTCCAGATGCTCTCTTTTGACCCTACTAGAAACCTATCAGCAAAAGCTGTTAGGTAACAAAAACACACACGATAAAGAGAGAGAGAGAGAAGGGGGTAGACGGACGTAGGGAGGGAGACATGGATACACACACCTTTACATATGCAACACGGGCACAAACAAAGCCGCGCACGATAGCAACAACACCATGGTTCCAGAGCCGTCGGAGGCCGGCTGGGCCATCTTCAAGCTCTCCGGGGGTATATATGTATCTATGTATGTATACATATACATATATATATACATATATATATACTAGAACCATCGCGCGCGCTTCGCGCGCGCTCAAGTTCTAGCCAGGATCCTCACCATCGTCATCATCGCAATCATCACCATCGTAGTCATCGTCATGGTCGTGTTCACCATTACCATCACCAGCACAACCATCATCATCACCACCATCATCGTCAGCATCGTCAGCACCATCGTCATCATCGTCGTCGTCATCGTTGTCCTCACTATCATCGTCGTCGTCATCATCATCAGCATCATCATCGTCAGCATCAGCATCAGCATCATCATCATCATCATCATCTTCGTCGGCGCCGTCGTCGTGCTCGTCATCCTCATCATCAGCGTCGTCGCCGTCATCATCATCGGTCTACTCCAGTCCCCTCCCCCTCCTCCTCATTTCCGTTCTATCTCTCCCCATCATCCTATCCTCTTGCTCCTCCTCCTCCTCTTTCTTCTCCTCGATGCCGTCTCCCTGAAGTGGATCCCTGTTCATTCACCTCCTCCTCCTCCTCCCTGTCCTCCCCGCTCTCTTCAATCTGTCCCTCCTTGTGTTCCTTCACCTCCTTCACCTCCTTCCTCCCCCCAGAACTCCACGAACGGTGCCAGGGACAGAAAAGCACGGCGTCCCTCCGCCTATCGCACACCTTTCACACGGCTCTGTTGGGAGAATTCGCCCAGCGTCTCCCCGCGTATTTCGACTCGCTCCGCACACAGCTTGTGCCCCGAAGGAAGCTGTTCCGACGGCCCCGGAAACAAGGGTCGCATCCTGCCGCCCCGCCCATGTCGGCACACCCCTGACATGGATCGTGAAGTAGGGGCGTCTTGGAGGCCTCTCAGGACGTGATTCCCAATGGTCTCTTGAAGTCTCTGCAAGGCCTCTTGGGGGCCTCTCGGCGTCTCTTGGGTGCCGCGGGAGCTGCTGGGGGCTTCTTGGGAGCGTCCTTTGGGGGACCGTCTTGGGGCTCCCTGCGCCGGCGACGCAGGGAATGAAACCTGGGATCGCTATTGACATGATGGCCGCGCACGGCAATGAGGACAGAGACCTGGTCCTCGAACCGACGACGACAGCGACTGCGATGGCGACGGCGACGACGACGACGACGACGACGGCGACGATGACGACGACGACAAAGACGATGACGACCCCCTCGCCCCTCCCCCCTCTGCTTGCCGCCGAGTGTGATGGCACCACGACGGCGAGAACGACGACGACGACGACGACGACGACGACGGAGAGACACCCCAGGCTGCAGAGGAAGAGGGTGGTCAGGGAGTGGGCGTCGGCACCGAGATCAGCTAAGTAGACATGGGCTGTCCCGACGGAGGAGGACGAGGAGGCCACAGAAACAACGGCAGCCCCCATCCTTTCAAAGCTAACATGTGCACGCTAAGCTCGCACCCTCGGCCCCAACTAACACCACACGCGCAGTTCGAGCGCGCTGAGGTTCCAGCAGCCCCCATC